GTCGTCGCGAAAGGTTTCTTTGGGTCCGTCCTCAGCAGGGGCCCTTCTCTGTGAGGGAAAAACCAAATTTCAGAAATAGTTGTAAACATGTACACAAAGGATGGGCATCAGTGGTGCTGGGCTAGACCGTCCTCCCCATCAGTGCCTTAGGAAGTGACGTCTGTTCTCACAGGGGAACAGAGTTGAAATGAATTGCAGAGATAAAGATTTTATTTATTTGAAAGAGAGGGAGCAAGCGAAAGCACCAGCAAGGGTGGTGGGAGAGGGAGAAGCAGGCTCCCCGCGGAGCAGGGAGCTCTATGCAGGACTCGATCCCAGAACCCTGGGATCGTGACCTGAGCCAAAGGCAGACGCTTAATGACTGAGCCACCCAGGCGCCCCTTAAACTGGCATTTTTAAGAGAAACAAAAGGTAGCACTCATCCTTCCTATCCTGGTTCTCATATCTACTCAGTTGATAACATGGAGCAACACCAGAGAACGATGACGTCACTTGAACCTAAGACAGTGGTCGGAACCCCTGCCATTTCTCGGTCTCTGGTTCACGCTTGTAGGCGGAGGGAGCCCCGCTCTCTATCCGGGGCTGGTCGTCTCTATATACCGCTGAGCATCAAACTCCAGGCATCCTGAGGTTTTTCAAATACGTTTACTCAGACTTCCAGTTCCACTGTTGGTGAAGGAACCTACCAGCGCCATGAGCTGTACAGCCTGGGCCTAAGACAAAAAGCAGTAACACGGAGGCCCTCGAGAGGGATCCGATGCGGTCCCAGTCTGGGAGGAGTCCGTGCAGGGGAGGGCGAGAGAGCATCACTTCCCTCTTCTGCTGCTTTTACTCTGGCGTCAAGCTAAGTGGTGAGGTTACTCGCAGAAAAACCAGAGCCTTTATGCCCCGGGAAGTCAGAGAGCCGAGTTGAGAGCAACCTAAGAGGGAAAGAACTAGAGGGGAGATCCCCAAATTGTCTGCCCACACCTCCAGCAGACCCCTCAGCCACACAGGCACTCTGTGGTCCTAGAAGCTGAGCTACAGATAAAAGATGGGAGCTGTGATTGGAACTTCTGCCCAAAAAACATTTTGAAAGGTCATTAAGTGCCCGCTGAAACACAAGAAACCACTCAGGGCACCCGAGTGGCTCAGGCCTTAAGCGTCCACCTTCTGTTCAGGTTATGGTCCCGGGGTCCTAGGGTTGATTCTGTATCGGGCTCCCTGCTCCATGGGAAGTCTGCTTCTCCCTCTCCCACTCCCCCTGCCTGTGTTCCCTCTCTCTCCATGTCTGTCAAATAAATAAAATATTAAAAAAAAAAAAAAAAAAAAGCCACTCATCTTGAGAAAAATAGCAGAATACAGAGGCTTCACAATTTGATATCCATAACAGGCATTCATAACGTGCAGTGTGCAAATAAGAAAATGCAGCCCTCTCTCAAGGGCAAAAGGCAGTCAACTAAGACCAGCTAATCCAGAAGTTAAAACTTAAGGACTTTAAAACAACTATAATAACAATCAGTGAGGTAAAGGAAAATATATTCATAATGAATGAAAAATAGCAAATATAGTAATGATTTTTTAATGAAATGGAAAAAATAAAACTAAAAAAAAAATCTCCAAAATGAAAAAAAAATTATGGTCTTCACAGAACAGAGATGACAGTGAAAAAGGTAAAAAGGTTGTAGGTAGGTAAAAGGTAAAATTTAGTCCGTGAACTTGAAGATAAACCAATAGAATTTATCCAGTCTAAATAACAAAAATGTTTTTAAGGAGCACAGAATGTCAGACAGTCTAAGATGGGTACGATAGGAATCTGAGAAGAGAATGAGGCAGATAAAATACTGTAATAAAGGTCAAATTTTTCACCAGTGTGATGAAGACAAGTTTCTAACTTGGAGATGCTCAGTGAACACCAACCAGGACAAACAGAAGGCCTAGTCCTACCATAGTCAAATTACTGACCACCGAATTAAAGAGCAGATCTTGACAGCATGAAACGAAACACAGTGCACACAGGGTAACAACAATTTGTTTTATGATTGACTTTTCATCAGAAACTACCAAAATCAGAAAAGAGTGGAACAAGATCTTTAGAAACTCTTAGAGGGGAAGAACAGACTGTCAAACCAGAATATTCTCTGTCAAGTAAAAATGTCCTTTAAGAATGAAAATGAACTAAAGATATTTTCAGGTAAAGAAAACATAAGAATTCATCACCAGAAAACCTACACTATAAATAATAAAATACCTAATGAAATTTCAGAGGAAGTTGGTCTTTACATTTTCAGGGATTTTATATTTTATATACAACAGTACAACATAATCTATGAATAACTAAGGATGTTTACTGTATGCCTACAGCAACAACTGAAGTACAGCTTTTATAAAATAGAAAGATTGGGGCGCCTGGCTGGCTCAGTAGGTTAAAGCCTCTGTCTTCAGCTCAGGTCATGATCTCAGGGTCCTGGGATGGAGCCCCGGGTCAGGCTCTCTGCTCAGAGGGGAGCCTGCTTCCCCCTCTCTCTCTGCCTGCCTCTCTGCCTACTTGTAATCTCTCTCTTTCTGTCAAATAGATAAATAAGGTCTTTTAAAAAAAAAAATCCCAAAATAAAATCACAATGAATGTATTTTTTAATTTTTTTGAAGGACAAGAACCTTAGAGGAGGAACAAGAACGGGGCAAAATGGCAAAACCAAACTAAACGCTATCACTGATTGCACAAGACATGCTAGTGGAATAAACAGTACAATTAAAATGCAGAAATTGGGGTGCCTGAGCGGCTCAGTGGGTTAAGGCCTCTGCCTTCATGATCTCGGGGTCCTGGGATCGAGCCCCGTATCGGGCTCTCTGCTCAGCGGGGAGCCTGCTTCCCCCTCTCTCTCTGCCTCTCTGCCTACTTGTGATCTCTGTCAAATAAATAAAAAATAATTTTTTTTTAAATGCAGAAATTATCAGAACAACTAAAAACAGACCCAACTATCTATATCTTAAGATGTCTGATATTTCTTTGACATCCCTCCCTGGGCCTGGACTCAGTGACTCGCTTATGACCGAATTGGCAGAAGTGACGGTGCTGGACTTCTGATGCTAGCTCAGAAAAGGCAAGCCCCTCCTGCCTCGCTTTCTCTTGGATCTGGCTCTGGAGAAAGGCAACTGTCCTTTCCCGTGGGCAGTCCTGCAGCGCTCTGGACAGGCCCAAGTGAAGGGAAACGGAGGCCCTCCATCAATCACCAGGACCAAATGGCCATCATGGAGTGAGCCATCTTTGTAGGAACATTCTCCCCTGAAGACGGCTGGAGCCTGGCCAACATCTTGACCCATGAAAGACCCCAAGCCAGAACTATTCATCCAAACTCTTGCTAAATTCCTGACCCACAGAAACTGAGATAATAACTTCAGCATTTTAAGCCACTAAACTGCTTAGAGTAATGTGTAATACAATAGGGAACACATACAAGCACCTATAAGAGGCATCCTTTTTTTTCATTGATATAAATTTTTAAAGATTTTATTTATTTATTGGAGAGAGTGCAGAAGCCATCACAGAGGGAGAGGGAGAAGCAAACTCACCACTGAGCAGGGACCCTGATATGGGGCTCGATCCCAAGACCCTGAGCTCATGACCTGAGCTTAATGCAGACATTTAACCGACTAAGTCACCCAGGTGCCCTAGTTGATAAAATTTTTATTTTTTACGTTTTTATTTAAATTCCACTTAACATGCAACGTAGTACTAGTTTCAGGTGCACAACGGAGGGATTCAGCACCTCCATACATCACTCTGCTCATCACAAGTGCACCCCTTAATCCCCCCATCCCTCCCACCACCCACCCCTCTTCTGGTACCCATTCGTCTGTTCTCTGTAGCTAAGAGTCCGTTTCCTGGTTTGAAGAGACATACTTGAAATACAAAGACACAGGTTGAAAGTAAATAATCAGAAAAAGATACACCGTGCAAACAGTAAACCAAAGAAGTCTGGAAGAGGCAAACGATTAGAGCAGCCATTTCACCAAAAAAAGATACACGGACGGCCAGCAAGCACGTGACCAGATACTCTACATTATGTGTCATTAGGAAAAGGCACATTGAAACCACAACGCGATACCACTGCACACCTATGAGAGGCTAAAATTGAAACGACTGACCGTACCCAGTGTTGACCAGGATGTGGAAGGACCAGAAATACCAGACACTGCTGGTGGAAACGGAAAAATATCACTTTGCCAAGCAGCCATTTCTTAAAAAGTTAACCCCAAAACTCCCCTAGGATTCCAGCATGCTCCTCCTCGGTGTTTACCCAGCGCAGAGATTTGTACACAAACACCACAGCAGCTGAACTTGTAACAGCCAAAAATGGAAACAACCAAAACAGACCTCCTGGGCAATAAAAATATTCCTAAGGCATCCTCTCCGGCATGGAGAAAGCTCCGAATTATGTTCAATGAAAAAAGCCTCATCCACTACCAAAAACACTTCCACTGTGAGGATTCATTGCTGTAAAACTCCAGAAAATGTGAACTAAACTCATCTATAGGCAGAAAAAGCAGTCCCTGGGTTGCATGGGGGAAGATGGGACTATTACAAAAGGCCACCGAGGAAACTTGCAGGGCATGGGTGTGTTGGCTATCTCGCCTGTGTTGACAGCATTATGGGAGTACACAGATGTCAAAACTTGGACCGTGCCCTCTGTAAGTGCAGTTTATGCCTACCTTCTATTTTTACATAAGTGGAAATGAATCAAGTATTTTTAGAAGCTAGTAGTAGTGGCCTCTCGGAATGCAGTGGTAAAAACTAAGGGATGTGTATAGGTCGGCCGATGTAGGTATCAGCCCTCTTCCTGCTGTCACAGCCGCTCATCAGCTGTGACACACTGAGTAAATGGCTTCATGTCTCCAGTGACCTCCGTGTTCTCGAAATTATCAAGTGAGAGATTTGTAAGGTCGCTTAGAGCTCCTGATTGGAGAGTGCTTCTGCGTCTGTAGGAAAGAAGGCTGATTTCTATTCTCCTTTGTTGTAGATTTCCAACGCACACAGTCAGCAGATGGACGACCTCTTTGATATCCTCATCAAGAGTGGAGGTAGGTCACAAATCACATCAGACCCCGTCCGAGTAGCCTTTTATGACAAGTTTCTGAACGTTTTCCTGGAGAGCTCACGGCCTATCTTGGAGTAGTGAGAAATGTATTCTAATCCCAACCAAGTTTACTGTTTTCAATTAGGACATTAAAACAACTTATAAATGGAGGAAAAGTTACTCTTTCAGCTTAGAACAATAACATCGTGTTAGATTTTATCCATAGATCTATGCCTGCCGAGAACGGACTGTATCAAAACAGCCACGTAGAGCCCCATTTAAATTCCACGTTGAAAAACTTCAAAACCTGTCCCATATGTAGATGACTGGGGCGGGGGGGACGAGAGCACTCTGTTGCGCACACTAACGTCGTAACAACCATGTTACGTCGCACAGGCCCTTACTCTCTTGGTGAAAATTTAAAGGCAATTTTAAAGCACCTTCTACCTATAATTGAAAATCTTGGACTTTATAACATATCATCTTAGAAAGGGATAAGGGTGTTAACCACACAGACACACATTCACAAAGTCAAGGCTAGCTCTACCTCAGCAAATGTATCTTTCAAAATAGGTATAAAAATCAGTATTTTAAAATTGAAAACACTGTTTTAGAATAAAGGATTCTTACATCACCTTGATGAGAGGAGTTTTATTCTGCTTTCTAAACAGTGGTCAAAATTTCTCCGTTCATAGCAGGTACTGTTTGGTTTTGAAGACAAGAAATTCTTGATGCTTAACTATAGCTCTACATGAGCAGATTTTTTTTTCTAAGAACTACATTGGCCTCACAAAATAACTTATGATATATTTATGCTCTGGAAATAAAAAATAACCGTTTCATGGCCTGATCTTAAGGTTTTTTTTTTTTTAATGCATTTTGCCAAAGACTTTCTAAATGATTAAACGGAGTAATTTTTACAGCCCAAACTTAGAAATTAAAATGTGATGACATCATCAAATGAGTTATGTTCTACAAGGACTTCTTTTTTTTTTTAAAAGATTTTATTCGTTTGATAGACAGAGATCACAAGTAGGCAAAGAGGCACACAGAGAGAGGAAGGGAAGCAGGCTCCCTGCCAAGCAGAGAGCCCAATGTGGGGCTCGATCCCAGGACCCTGGGATCATGACCTGAGCTGAAGGCAGAGGCTTTAACCCACTGAGCCACCCCGGCGCCCCAGGACTTTTTTTCTTTTTTCTTTTTCTTTTTTTTTTTTTTTTTTTTAATTTGACAGACAGATCACAAGTAGGCAGAGAGACAGGCAGAGAGAGACAGGAGGAGGAGGCAGGCTCCCTGCTGAGCAGAGAGCCCAATGCGGGACTCGATCCCAGGACCCTGGGATCATGACCTGAGCCGAAGGCAGAGGCTTAACCCACTGAGCCACCCAGGTGCCCCCCAGGACTTTTTTTCTTAATGGCAAAGTATCCATTGAGGACATTATCTTATTGTGAATGAACGCCAGTGATAATGAAAACAGAAATGTAAAGAATTGATTCTGAGGCAGGTTACCTAGCACTGTCAGCTTTCAGAATGGTTCTAGAGCTGACCGCAGGAAAGGACACACGACAGACGTATGCAGGACACACGCAGGGAGTCAGCACATGAGTCCACACGGTCGACGACGCACATGAGTCCACACGGTCGACGACACACACGAAGGAGTGGGCGTGTGAGCTCCTTCACATCCTTCTGTGTCCCAGTCAGAGTTCCCACAGCTCTTAGCAAATCCGTTTCTCCTCCCGTGTTTGCATAGAAATGAAGCCAGATACCCATCAGAAAGTAAAAAAGAAACTTTATTCAAATACGTGTATCTAAATGAAAGCTGGAATCCAGAGCAGATGGTGGTGCATTCCCTTTCCACCTGATCCCGCAAGAACGCATCATTAGTGCTCACTAAGACATCTGCCAGAGCGTCAAGATTTTAGGTAAACTCAGAAAACAAGCAAACAGGTCAGAAAAATAAGGTCAAGAAGGTCAGAGGAGCTGTGTGTTAGCTTTAATTTGGGAGGAAAACAAGACAGCATCTTATCTGTAGAACTTCCTGCGGAACGTATATGGCTGACGGGGCATGCGGTTCGGCTGTCACGATAACAGAAAAAAGACTAATTAGATCTGCCGTGGTCTCCGAGTGCACTTCCCGTCTGCACAGACGGGACACCCACTTTGACTTTAAGGGTGGCGACCACAGTGATGGCAGATCCACAGTTCTGTGTCTGAAGCCCGAAATAATGCAAACAAGGACCCAGAGGTCAAATAATCAAAATAATAAAGCTATCGGCTCCTGCCTAGTGGCGTATAACTGTGTGTGATGCTTATCACGCTTACTGAAAAGGAGAGAAAGCGTATCAGAATGTTATAAATTTCAATGTCCATTTAACTCAAATGAGCCATCCTCCGCTAGGTCACCAAGGACCATAGCTGACGAGTAGCGCTGCCGTCCTCCTACCCCTACGGTGGACAGTGTCTGAGTCCTTGCCCAGTAGTAAAACAGCTCTCCTGGTACTTGACAGAAATGTTTAAAGAGTACGGAATCGTTACTTACTCATCCCCTTAATTGCTTTGCACAGAGATCTCCCTTCCTATAAAAGAAGAGCCGTCACCCATCTCCAAAATGAGACCAGTGACAGCCAGCATCACCACCATGCCGGTCAACACAGCGGTGTCCCGGCCACCGCCCCAAGTGCAGATGGCACCACCCATCTCCTTAGAACCCATGAGCAGTTTGTCCGCCAGCTTGGAGAACCAGCTGGAAGCGCTCTTAGATGGAACTTTCCCTTCGGCCAACGAAATCGCTCCACTGCCGAGCAGCAGTGAGGACAGAGAGCCCTTCTCTCTGATCGAGGACCTCCAGAACGATCTGCTGAGTCACTCGAGTGTGCTGGACCACTCACACTCCCCCATGGAGACTTCCGAGGCCCAGTTTGCCGCCAGTACCCCCTGTCTGTCACTGGACCTTTCGGACTCGAACTTGGACAACATGGAGTGGCTGGACATCACCATGCCTAACACGTCAGGACTCACTCCCCTCAGCACGACCACCCCCAGCATGTTCTCCGCTGACTTTCTAGATCCACAGGACCTGCCGTTGCCGTGGGACTAACGTCGCTGATTTCTCGTTCGAGCCTATGTCGTTTCAGAAGATGAAGATCATTCTCCAAGGTCAGTTTTTAGAGACAGATTCCGAGTTGCGCTGTTGCAATTACAATATGTCGTCACGGGAAGAACGGATAGATGGTCATAGCCTGGAAACCGAGTGCGAACACATTTCACGGCGCCCAGCAGTGAATTTCTCCAACTTAACACAGCACAGGGCCTTCTGAAAAATCACTGGTTACAGAAGACCCACCTGTTTCTCCAGACTTCGGCAGAGAACGAATAAAGACATCCAGAAGAGGGACGTGTGCGGGAGAGTGACACGTGGATTCTCTGGCCGTCCATGAACTACATTTACGCCTCTGCGGTCACCTTCAGACCCGACGCTCAAGGCAGACAGCTCCCCTCCAACGAGAGGACAGCGGCCCTTGCATGCGGTCCGTCCCAGCCGTGACCGGAGCCGGGCTGTGGGCGGCAGAGGCCGGGGAGGGCGCCCGCCTGTTCCCAGACAGCGGCCACTGCGGACTTCTCCTTCCGTTCGGAAACCAACATCGTTTATCTGTGTCGTAGTTTTGTGGAACTAAAACTTAGTTGTGGGGAATCTTACTGTAGCTTCCCAGGTTTCAGTTTAAGTGGGAGATCCTTCACCATCATCAGACGACGTCTCCAAAACACTGTCCTAAACCATCCACTGTACAAAGTCCTTGTATACGGATAACACTGAAAATTCTATTAGCAACCCTCGGGGTTCAGTAGGTGGGTTTTAATGTGTATATGAGACATTTGTATGTCCACCCTGACATTGTGATTTGTACAGCCTACATTGGGGTAAGGAATTGGTAGCCAGTGTGCCTACTTGTTTTAATAACTCGGCTGTTTCTAGAGTCCCTGAGCCATGTGTATTTCCGTATTTAAAGAAATGCTGACTGATTTCCAGGTAACCAGACCCATCTCACAGAACAAGGAAGGCTTCAGTGTAAAATATCCTTCTGAGCTGTTGAGTTGCAAAGAGAGGGCCGAGGAGAAGTGTGCCAGGAGCCCCAAATGTTCCCGGGGGGGGGAATCTGGGCAGGCTGGCCGCGGGGCCCAGCTCTGGCCGCCTCTTCTCTGCCGTTTTCCCTGACGGGCATCCTTCAGGCTCATAACTGGATGTCATACCCGAGCTCTCACTAGGTTATCAAGCCGAAGAGGGAAAAACTGGAGGTTTTACTAGTCATTGTTTTATATAGAGAAGTTATCACCCATTTGCTGAGTAGTTCCTTAAGAATTTTCTAAAATGCCAACTATCACAGGACTTCCAGAATTATCTCAAGTTAGTCATTTAAGGTTAGGACAAAATGTAAATAACTTTTCTGAAAAAAACAAAAAAAACCCTGAAATCTACCCAAAAAAGTGTGAAGGTGTTTGCTGAATAATTTCACCTGCTCCGCACCTCACGTTCTGTAAACCCAAGGGCCAGGTTGCTTTCTCTGCATCCTCAGATGGTGACGTCCCCACGGTGACTTGCCCGAGCCAACCTGACCGACCCACTGCTTAGAGAGAATCCAGGCATCACGGCTGGGTCTGCACTTTGCCTGAGCGCCGATCTGATTTCGGTTTGTAGATCCTCCACGGGAGGAAAGTTTGCTTTTCCAGGATTCGGCCGGAACACGGGCGCCCTCTGTTAGCTGGCACTTCCCAACTTGACAGACATCTGAAGCGTTCGGGGCAGAAGCGGTTACGCTCGGTGTGGTCTGAGGGGGCAGTTTCAATGCTCAGAAACTGGGAATCCAGCACCTGGAGTCCAGTAGCCTGCTCAGCAGGATGCCGCCATGGGAGCAAGCCCGAGAGAGTGTCACCCCGGGGGACGCATGGCCCCAGTGCATCCCTTCCGGAAGGGCCTGCGTCCGGGGACCGGCTGCCCACCCGGGCAGGTACTTGTCTGGGGGTGGTCCTGGCCGTGGGTTTTGTCCGGGGCTCACCTGCTCTGCACGTGGGCTCTGGGCTTCATCTTCACTCAGATTTCAGTGGCTTCTCAAGTGAACCCCAGATAGCAGTGGGACTGTGGGAGGCAAGTGACCAGCTAGCGCCGTGGACTCTTGCTTGCTATTTTCACCATCTTGAGTGGTGCCCGAGATGCTTTCCCAGCCCTCAGCTCTCCCGTTGCTTTTTCAAACTAAGGCCAGAAACACGCCGCAGGAAGGGTGCTCTCCAGAAACCCACTCGAGCGCAGACAGCGCCGCCCCACCAGCCTGCTTGCTTTGGACTAGGCGTTACTTCACGCGTGCGCCCAAACCCTTACGTACGGGGCTTCCTTGACAGGGAAGGCGAGGAGCCTCCCGACCCGAGCTGCACCAGCCCCCACTCACACCATTCCGCCAGGCCCTCCCATCCTGGCGTGGGCGGCCGGCCGGCACGCGGGGCGGGGGGCCACTGTGCTCAAGGTGAGACGTGTGCAGCCGGTGACGTGACCAAAGACCGTGCTGTCCTCGAGGCCCCTCTGACCTGACTCGCTGCACACAGGGTAAGGACTGTCTGCGTCGTCACGGCCGTCAAAGCACAGGGCAGGGCGGCCAGGACGCACGCGTGTGGTGTAGACGTGGGGGTGTGGCCCGTCGTCTTGCACACGTCCCATTGCCAAGGAAACAACCAGCGCCTGGACATGCGCTCTCTCCCATCCAGTCTGACCTCTCCGAATATTCCGGAAACACCGTCGCATGGAGTTTGCCTCTCCAGGATATGCAGGTACCAGCTCCTGTCCTCCGGGCCTGGAGGAAGGGCAGGTCGCCCCAGAGCTTCCCTGGGCTTTGTGAGTCTAGAGGCCGGGGGCCCTTCAGCAGCGCGCGTCCAGGGAGCCCCTCCGGGCATGTTGCTGGGGTTCACGTGCTGGCGTTCTTCCAGAATTGTGCGATCTACTGTACAGTACTTGCCGCATATTTGTACATAGATATATTCTCAATTCGTGGGATTTCTTGCTCAGATACTCTGTGTTTTACAGGACTATTTTTATAATACTAGAAAGATCTTATTTAAGTTTCCTTTTTAAAAAACCCGGTTCTGTGATCCGTGTAACTGACCCTTTAGGAAGCGTGATTTCAGGAGGCGGTCTGCGGCGGCCCCGAGTGATGGGTCGGCAGCCTGTCCCCCCTCTGCTCACCAGAGTGGACTCAGGCTTCCTCTGCCCTCCCCCCGCCCCCGATCATTCCAGGCCACCCCACTTTCTTCAGCGCCCGTTCCTAATTCCCAGGCTGAAACCAGCCGCAGCAGCCGGCCCAGCAACTGTCCCCACAAGCGATGGGACAGTCCCTCTCTTGTCCACAAACAGGCGGGGCCGAGAGAAGTGCAGGGCGAAGGCGCTCTGGCCGGCACAGCCCCCGAAACCCCTTCAGGCTCTTGCCGGCAGTCACTAGAGAGGGGCAGCCCGTTTCTGCAGGTCCACACACAACCCTCCCTGTTTTGTCACCCTCTCCGCACACATGCGTCTCCCTGACCCCCGGCAACACGGCAGAACACCGCACTGTCCACTGCCCTGGAGGCCACGGAATGAGCCCAGGGGATCCAAGCGCGTTAACTGGAAGGGCCGCCCCGTCAGGGAGCAGAGCTGAGCAGGGCAGGCCTGTGTGTTTGCAGAGCCTCCTACCGCGTCCCGGCTCTCCCGCCAAGCGCTGCGGTCACAACTGGAAAGTAACAAGACGCGGCCGTTCTTCGCCCTGTCTCCAGCCCCGCTCCCGTGCACGCCTGTCCGGGCCACCTGTTCTCTTGGTGAAGTGACTGTCTACAGGACCACAGGGAGGCTGTGCGTGCCCGCCCCCCCCGACCCCCGCTCCCTCTTCCTTGCCATACCCGGGGAGCGCCGGCGGCCCCGCAGAGCCTCTCTCCCTGCGATCTCCGGTGCGAGGCCAGGACGGCCCAGAGCGGCACGTGTTTACACAAGAGCACTTCCCCCGCCGCACCAACACATCGCTCTGCGCCGCGAGCCGCGGCCAGGCAGTGTCACCGCTCCTCGACAACGGGATGGCCGTCTCAGACCAAAGGTGCTCTCTGGAATCGGAATAGGTCCTTGGCGATAATCCACACAGCTTGTCGTGTTCAAAAGAGCTTTGTGCCAACCACTAAGACAAAGCTTTAACCAAGTTCATAGAATCACCGAGACCCGTTCACTATTACCTCTCTACGTTATGCTGTAAGGAAACTGGCTGACCGGGGAGGAGGAGGGAGCATTGAGGAAAGGGTTTAGTATCTACCAAAAGTACTTAACCTCAAGTAACCAATAGTAATGCAAACTTGCTTTAAAGGAACCAAAGGCATTGCCAAGTATTTGCCAAAAGAAGGCACTTTTTATTTATAAAATTTGAGACTAACGATATCTCAACAGTCCCAAAAAGGTATTATCCATCTAAGGTTATAATTTTCACAAAGGTGTAGATATTTCTCTATTGTTTCCATGTAAAATAGTATAGATTTGTTTTGTTGGTTTAAGAATAATACATATTTAGCAGTAAAACAGTTTCTTCCTAAGTGCAGATTAGTTTCCTTTCTTCTAGCTTGCAGTCGAAACAGTGTGACGGGCGTTTCTCTTCTTACTTTCATGGTCACATTACGTCTTAGCATCTCACTTTGTGGAAACAAGGAGAAAGATACCAACCTACAGAGCCCCGCTTACTAAAGCACTAGCTTAATGAACAAAAAAGTTACGGCAATCGGGGGGTCCAGTCATGTATTGCCTTTATGTTGTTTTTTAAAAGAAAACCATGATGCCTTTGTATTTGCTGTTTGCACCCCTGAAATCAATTCCGTATCATGTTTGGATGCCATACATTTGCACATGTACTGTACATAGTAACGCATACTGTATTTTTATATGTGTGCACATTTCTCATCAGATCTTTTGTACATAGTGGCAGTATTGTAGCCGGTCAGGAAACGTTTGATATCTCAGCAATTTTGCATTTTTGTGTCTCAAATAAAAACATTTTGATGTACTGCGGTTCTTGCTGTGCAGAGGGCGGGCCACGGCCGAGCTGGGTGTGGGCAGGGGTTTCGGAAGAGCCCCCCCTTCGGAACACGCCCCACAGCAGCTGGCCACACACAAAACCAGTAGCCTCACCGAGGCGAGCTCTGTGGCTCACACATCCAGGGGACCAGCCTCCCCCAAGGCCAGGAACGGGGGATACAAAAGAGAAGCCGGGACTGGCTGAACTTGAATATGACAAGATTGACACCAAAGTCATGTTCGTTCTCCTACAAGGGTAAGGGAGCCCTGAAGGGAGCGTGATAGAGCATGGCGAGCGCGGCCGTGCAGGGGGAAACACGCACACTTGGGTAGCAACAGAGCCACCAACAAAGTTCCCCAGACGCCCAGAGAGTCCTCCAATGGAACCAGGTTTCAAAAAACTGTATGAGGTGTTTTTATCGACCATAAAAATGGTCTTCAGAATTGGGTCTTCTTTTCCTAAAATGGCATTTAATTTTCAGTCTAGGAAAGTGGAAGCCCGTGGTGAAGGTACGGTTTTGAGGGAAACAGCATTCTATTTTCCTCCTCAATCTGGTGAAATACAAAGGCCACGAGTAAATCAGATTGGCAGCCAGGGCTTTCGCGTGGCTGTCTGTGTCACCCACAGACAGGGAGAAAAGAAAGATCAGGAATTACCTAACTACAGCCCCAGGGTCGGTATCTGTGATGCTGAGGGACCAAGACAGCAGCCTCGGCACATCTGTGGGTCCTTGATGTTCCCAAGGGCCTAAAATGTGTCATCACATCACACATCACCAGCCAGTGGCCCGACCCCCAGGGGGGGAGAGAACACTGTCAGAGGGAGCAGGGCAGGTGCCCCGCCTTGGAGGAGAGGCCGCGGACAGAGCAGGGGGCTCTAGGGAAGGTGCGCGGCCCACATGGCACGTGCACACGGAGAGAACATTCCAGGCACAGAGAACAGGCTGGGCGAGGCCAGACATGATGAGCGATTGGGGCCGTGGCCCTGCCGTGCACCCAGCCACAGGCTAGACAGATGCTGGGGTTCAGCTGCAGGACCCCCTTCATAGACAAAGTCTGAAAAACCAGGTCTGCACGGTAGGCGAGAGCCGGGCATGCAAGGATCCCCCTGGAGGGGCCTCAGAGTCTCCTGTCGAGAATTCTGTTAACTTTGGGCAACACCGAGCCTTGGAAAGCTTTTCAGACACTAGACACAGGCATCATCCCGCATCTTCACAGCCCCTACTGCACACCGGCTCTAGAACCCAGGGGAATATCGCGTTGCTGTAAACGCAGACACGCCCACATGCCCAGCGATGGGAAATGAACAAGAACCAGCCCGCGGGGCAATCACGCACCGGCACCGAACCGGGGCAGACCGACTCCAGCACAGATGGGAACCACAACGTCCCCTACCAGGGAACGTGGCCACACAGTCCTCTCGGAGGTTTCTCGCCCCCTCATGACCCTTCCCTCCCCCTCTTTCCATAAATGACTTAGCTTCTGAGAAGTCTGACAGCCGTTCATCTGAACCTGCTTTAACTTCCGAAAGAAACCTCATCTTGAAACCTGCCCGTCTTCTCTGCTCGCGTCTGCGGCAAGTCACTAAAATTAAACCCCTACTGTGTCGTTAGACAAAAAACAAAGATGTTCCTCAACATTGGGAAGGCCCTCTTGTTGCTCAGGACTGTGTCCCAGACCCTTGCAGGTGGGGACCGCTGACGATGGCCCAGCAGGGGGTCAGGTTGGGGGGGGGTCACTCACCCTGGACTACTACACATACTGGAGACTCAAAAGCATCTAAAACCCAAAAAACAAATGCTAGTATGATCCCGTCCAACACTGATGGTGAACCGATGGCGAGGAGGGGCCTGTATTCGGGTTCGTAGTTAAGAATGTCAAGTGCTGGGGCACCTGGGTGGCTCAGTGGCTTAAGCCTCTGCCTTTGGCTCAGGTCATGGTCTCGGGGTCCTGGGATCGAGCCCCACGTTGGGCTCTCTGCTCAGCAGGGAGCCTGCTTCCCCCTCTCCCTCTGCCTCTCCCTCTCCCTCCTCCTACTTGTGATCTCTCTCTCTGTCAAATAAATAAATAAAATTTAAAAAAAAAAAAAAAAAAAAAGAATGTCAAGTGCTTCCCATTAGGGACTCCAGTGTTGGCCTTTGAGACCTTTGCTCTGCCTCTTCTCCCACATCTGGATGGTCCTCAAGTCCACACTCAGCAGAACGGCAAACAAAGCTTTGTGCCCATGAAGTTCGCTCGACCAAGAGCACAGTCACAGAGTACATCTTGTTACGTACTTTAAAGCACTAAAAAAGGTCTGCAATGCCATTCAGACAAGCAGCTTTATGTTCTCTACTTCAATTATGTGTGGAAGGTTGGCCAGGACATCCCATGCACAAGAGACACAGAAGCCACAACAGGGAGACCCCCCCCCCAAAAAAAGTGCTACAACCAAAAGCTACTTACCCGTCTCCCCATACTTCTAGTACACAGCGCCAGCGAATGGGAAGGCAGCTGGGGACAGAAACATACTCAGTGCTACTAGACCCCAGACCCTGCGCCAAACACTTCACACAACCTCACTGAACCACAAGTCTATGAGCTAAGAACTGTTATTGCCTCCATTTTACAGATGTGGCAACTGAGGACAGAAAGGGGAATGATTTGCCTGAAATTACACAGGAAGCAGAGCCCGGATGTGAGACCACGCTTCTGATGCCCCGGAACCCAGACCACTTCTGCAGACTCAGCGCATACAACGCTTGTCTCCGTTCCGGTATGTTAGCGATTCAACCAATGGTGGCTGACCGAATTTCCATCCGTCGTGAGGTTCAGCCCCAACTGGGTGTCTCCCAAGTCTCCATGTCACACGTTTTTACAAAGCAGCTATTCTCTGGGAGTGGTGTGTGGCATTCAGGCTAGGGCTCTGACTAGGTTAGCCGGCCACCGCCGGGATTACAAGCCCGGGACGCCATAAATGAGCCCCAGTGGCCACAGTCAGTGACTCACTCACAACCAAACATTGTCTGTCAGGGCTGGGACTTCTAGAGCCCCTTGAGCACATCTAGAAGCCCAAGAGTCACAGAACAGGGACTCCTGGGTGGCTCAGTCCGTTAAGCATCTGCCTTCAGCTCAGGTCATGATCCCGGGGTCCCAGGATCGAGTCCCGCATCAGGCTCCTTGCTCAGGGGGGAGCCTGCTTCTCCGAACTCTGCCTGGCTCTCCCCCACTTATGTTCACCCTCTCTCTCTCTCGGACAAATAAATAAAATCTTTTAAAAGTTACAGGACAATTTTTACAACATCTCATAAAGTTGAAGAGACAAACTCTGTGACTCCACTGTTTTGGTGTACGTCCTGGAGAAGCACCGTTGGCCCCAGACCGCCATGTGCCGGAATGAACATTAGAGCATCTAGAGCAAACGGGGAGGACAACCCGTAGGCCTTTCAGTCAACTTTAAACACAGCCATTTACCTAAATGCGCTAAACCAGAAAATCAAATGTGTCACCATCAAGAATCTCCAAACAAAAGGCTTCAGGGAAGAAAGTGGAGGAAGAGGCAGGGGTAACTCAAGTCACATTTTAAAACAAGAACACTGTGGGGATTTCTAGATATAAAAATATAACGTATAAAAAAATATGGCTGGTAAAGACATGTCAATTTCAAGGTTCAGGCTACTTCTGGAAAAAGAAAAAGAAAGACTGTGGAAGGTGTAAAGTAAGCTTCAATTAATACTGAATGTTTCATTTAATTTCTTCTATGTTTTATTTAATAACTCTATAGCCATATAGAAAAACACTAACATTACTTACTGGCAGTTGATTTCTTTCTTCTGCCCTATTCTTTTCAGTGAGTTGGAAATATTTCATGTAAGAAAACACGTGTTTAGGGTCCCCTGGGTGGCTCTGTCAGTTAAGTGTTTGTCTTCAGCTCAGGTCATCATCCCAGGGTCCTGAGATCGAGCCCCGCATGGGGTTCCCTGCTCAGCGGGGAGCCTACTTCTCCCTCTCACACCCACCCCGCTCATGTTCCCTCTCTCACTGTGTCTCTCTCTGTTACATAAATAAATAAAATCTTTAAAAAATAATACTAATAAAAATAAATAAATAAAAATAGTAAGTTATAAGGGCATAATATAAACAACTCTATACCAATAAATTAACTTAGATAAAACAGACAAATTCCTAGAAAGACACAACTACCAAAAACAGAGTCAGGAAAAAAACCAGAAATACGAATAGACCTACAACAAGTAAAGAAAATGAATTAATTTTTAGAAACTACCAACAAGGTGACTTCACTCATGAATTCTACCAAAAATTGAAAGAAAAATTAATAGCAATTTTTCACAAACTCTTTGAAAAAAGAGAACACTTCCTGACTTTCTATTAGAGAGGACCCTGACATCAATACCTAATAAAGACATAAGAAAATAAACACACCAGTGTGGGTTAGGAATATACACACAAACTTCCTAAACAAAGGACTAGCAAACCAAATACTGCAACATACATATAGTATCATACATTAAGATATTTTCACATTCCCAAGGGATCTGAATGACACACTGGCCCAGACGGACTTCACAGATATATTCAGGGCCATTCCATTCTATAGCAACAGAGTACACATTCTTCTCTAGTGCACATGGAACATTCTCCAAAACAGATCACATCCTGGGTCATAAATCAGGTCTCAACTGGTACCAAAAGTTTGGGATAATTCCCTGCATATTTTCAGACCACAATGCTCTGAACCTAGAACTTAATCACAAGAGGAAATTTGGGAAGAACTCAAATACATGGAGGCTAAAGAGCATCCTACGAAAGAATGAATGGGTCAACCAGGAAATTAAAGAAGAATTTTAAAAATTCATGAAAACAAACAAAAAATGAAAACACAGTTGTTCAAAATCTGTGGGACAGAGCAAAGTCAGTCCTAAGAGGAAAATATATAGCGATACAAGCCTTTCTCAAAAGAACAAGAAAGGTCTCAATGGCACA